TTCCCTCTGATTCCCCTTTCCTCAAATCCCCCTCACTTGCCTGGGTTTGGGGTTCAGGAGCTTTTTGGGGTGGTTGTGGGGAAAAAACAGAAAAAAAACACCCAGAAAATTCCCTTTTCCCTCTGATTCCCCTTTCCTCAAATCCCCCTCACTTGCCTGGGTTTGGGGTTCAGGAGCTTTTTGGGGTGGTTTAGGAGCTTTTTGGAATGGTTTAGGAGCATTTTGGAATTATTTAGGAGTTTTTGGGGTGGTTTAGGAGCTTTTTGGAATTATTTAGGAGCTTTTTGGGGTGGCTCAGGAGTTTTTTAGGATGGTTTAGAAGCTTTTCAGGATGGTTCAGGATCCTTTTGAGATGTTCAGGAGCGTTTTGGGGTGATTTAGGAGCCTTTTGGGGTGGTTCAGGATCTTTTTGGGATGGTTCAGGAGCTTTTTGAGATGTTCAGGAGCTTTTTGGAATGATTTAGGGTATTTTTGGGGTGGTTTAGAAGCTTTGGGGATGCTATAGGATCTTTTTGGGATGTTTAGGATCTTTTTGGGATGGTTCAGGATCTTTTTGGGGTGGTTTAGAAGCTTTTTGGGTGGTTTTGGAGCTTTTTGGGGTGGTTTTGGAGCTTTTTAGGGTGATTTAGGATCTTTTTGGGATGTTCAGGAGCTTTTTGGGGTGGTTTAGGAGCTTTTTGGGGTGGTTTAGAAGCTTTTTGGGTGGTTTTGGAGCTTTTTGGGATGTTCAGGATCTTTTTGCGATAATTAAGGAGCTTTTTGGGATGATTAAGGGTGATTTAGGACCTTTTTGGTGTGGTTTAGAAGCTTTTAATTCCTAAATCCTAAAAGCTCTGCCTCAGCAAGGGGATTGGAGGACGAGGCACATCCCAAATTTCGGGAGGCCGCACCGGCCGAGTCCTCCCCGACATTTCCAGCTCCCCCCCAGCCCCGCACAAAAAGCAGAATTCCCTCCTTTCCCACCTCAAACCGAGCAGGACGAGTTCCAGACCCCCCGGGAACGGCCGAGCCTTTTCCCTTGGGATCGTTTTCCAGCTGTGGATTTGGGAAAAGCCGGGATTTTCCCGGAATAATCCTGCAGATCGGTGTTTTACCAGGCACGCTTCGATCTGCTCTCCGTGTCTAATACTGCCTGCTAATGCCGTCAGTCGCACGGGCAGCTCCCGGGGGGGACGATCCCTGGAATTCCACAGCTGGAATTCCGGCTTGGGCCTTTAAGCACTTTTTGCATGGCAGAAATGTGGAGAAAAGCCCCAAAAAATCTCGTTTTTATCAGAAGAATCAATGAATTTTTATATAATTTTAGGCGCTTTCTGCGGAGCAAAAATCCCAGGAAAAACTCCCTTGAGAGGGACGATCCCTGGAATTGCACAGCTGGAATTCCGGTTTGGGGCTTTAAGCACTTTGTGCATGGCAGAAATGTGGAGAAAAGCCTCAAAAAATCTCGTTTTTATCAGAAGAATCAATGAATTTTTATATAATTTTAGGCGCTTTCTGCGGAGCAAAAATCCCAGGAAAAACTCCCTTGAGAGGGAGAATTCCTGGAATCTCACAGCTGGAATTCATTTTTGGGGCTTTAAGCAGTTTTTTCGTAGCAAAAATGTGGAGAAAAGCCCCAAAAAAATCTCGTTTTTATCAGAAGAATCAATGAATTTTTATGTAATTTTAAGTGCTTTCAGCAGGACAAAATTCCAGGAAGAATTCCTGGAATTTCACAGCTGGGATTCATTTTTGGGATTTTAAGCACTTTTTCTGTAGCAAAAATGTGGAGAAAAGCCCCAAAAATTCGTATTTATGAGAAGAATGAATGAATTTTTATATAATTTTAGGCGCTTTCTGCAGGGGCAAAATTCCAGGAAGAATTCCTGGAATCTCACAGCTGGAATTCCGTTTTGGGGTTTTAAGCACTTTTTGCATGGCAGAAATGTGGAGAAAAGCCCCAAAAATTCGGATTTATGAGAAGAATGAATGAATTTTTATATAATTTTAGGCGCTTTCAGCGGGGCAAAATTCCAGGAAGAATTCCTGGAATTTCACAGCTGGAATTCGGTTTTGGGGGTTTAAGCACTTTTTGCATGGCAAAAATGTGGAGAAAAGCAAAAAAAAAATCGCATTTTTATCAGAAGATTGAATGAATTTTTATATAATTTTAGGCGCTTTCAGCGGAGCAAAAATCCCAGGAAAAACTCCCTTGAGAGGGAGAATTCCTGGAATCTCACAGCTGGAATTCATTTTTGGGCCTTTAAGCACTTTTTTTCGTAGCAAAAATGTGGAGAAAAGCCCCAAAAATCTCGTTTTTATCAGAAGAATCAATGAATTTTTACATCATTTTAGGCGCTTTCAGCAGAGCAAAAATCCCAGGAAAAACTCCCTTGAGAGGGAGAATTCCTGGAATCTCACAGCTGGGATTCGGTTTTGGGGCTTTAAGCACTTTTTTCTTGGCAGAAATGTGGAGAAAAGCCCCCAAATCCATGATTTATCAGAAGAATTTATGAATTTTCATATTTTAGAATTTTTAGGCACATCTGTCCTTGCAGAAATGTGGGGAAAATTCCCTTGAGAGGGAGAATTCCTGGAATCTCACAGCTGGAATTCATTTGGGGGATTTTTGTCATTTTTTTCATGGTAAAATTGCAGAACAAAGCCCCCAAATCCTTGACTTAATCAAAATTAATGAATTTTCCTATGAATTTGAGGCATTTCAGGCACTTTTGTCTTGGTGGAAATGTGGAAAAATCCCCTTGAGCGGAAGAATTCCTGACAAAATTCCATTTTCAGGGATTGCAGGAACAGATCCGGGCTGTTCCAGGGGGATAAAAGGGAAACAATTCCCGATTTCCTCACCCAATGAATTTTTATATAATTTTAAGTGCTTTCAGCAGGACAAAATTCCAGGAAGAATTCCTGGAATCTCACAACTGGAATTCGGTTTTGGGGGTTTAAGCAGTTTTTGCATGGCAGCAATGTGGAGAAAAGCCCCAAAATCCATGATTTATCAGAAGAATTTATGAATTTTCATATTTTAGAATTTTTAGGCACATCTGTCCTTGCAGAAATGTGGGGAAAATTCCCTTGAGAGGGAGAATTCCTGGAATCTCACAGCTGGAATTCATTTGGGGGATTTTTTGTCATTTTTTTCATGGTAAAATTGCAGAAGAAAGCCCCCAAATCCTTGACTTAATCAAAATTAATGAATTTTCCTATGAATTTGAGGCATTTCAGGCACTTTTGTCTTGGTGGAAATGTGGAAAAATCCCCTTGAGCGGAAGAATTCCTGACAAAATTCCATTTTCAGGGATAGCAGGAACAGATCCGGGCTGTTCCAGGGGGATAAAAGGGAAACAATTCCCGATTTCCTCACCCCGGGCAGGAAAGCAGCGCTGCCTTTGTGCTCCAAACTTTGGGATTTCTCCAGGGAATTCTCCAGGGAATGTTGAATTCCCTCTGGAATTTCCTCTCCAGAGCTCCCTCTGCTGCCACAGGGTTGGGAAAGGGGAAGCAAAGCCGGGATTTGGGTGGAATTCCGTGGCTTTTTTTTGGGATGTTTTCCCATTCCCGGATCCGGGTCTCTGCTCCTGGAGAGTGGAATTTTGATTCCCCAAAAAATGGGATTTTTTTTTCTCCTTTTTTTTTTCCTTTCCTGAGAGCATTTTCCAGGTTTTCCTGTGAGCCCAAGGCTCTGTTCTCTCCAGGATTGGGATAAAATTCCAGAGGGGAGGAGGAGGCTGGGATTCCTCAGGATTATTTTGGGAACGAGGCCGGAGTTGAAACCCAAATTAAATAAAAACCCCAAAAGAAAAAATCTTGGTTCAAATGAATTTTTCTTTGGAATTTCCCAAATTTTCCCAGGGAATCAGAAACTTCCCAGAGCAGCTTTGGGGGTCTCTGTTCCTGCAGGAATTCCTGGCTGTGACCCCAAATCCAGGGAAACTGCTGGAACTCCCCAGGAGCCTCTGGAATCTCCCAGGGAAGGATTTTTCCCAGATTTCCAATCCTTTTCCATTCCCAGTGTCCTGTCCCTCCATCCCTCGTCCCAATCCTTCTCCAGGGGAACATTCCCAGAGCTCCCAGCCCAAATTCCAGGGATCACCCAGTACAAGTTTAAATCCATGTGGAATTCCTCTGAAATCCTGGAAATTTCCATGGATTTCCACTGAGAATCCACGACTTCCAGGAGAAACTCATCCTGGATTATCCCTAATTAATTACCCATAATTATCAACACAGATCTTGGCATCGACATCTCCACAGGGAGTCAGCCCAAAAAACTTCCCAAAGCTGCTGGAATTACATCAAAAATCTTGGAATATCCTAAGTGGGAAGGGCCCCACAGGGATCAGAAATCCCCAAACCCCACCTGAGAGCATTTGCCAGGATTTTTTCCCCATTCCCTCCATTTTTCCAGAGCTCTGACCAGTCCCTGGATGAGCTTCACTCCCTTTTTTCCCTGATTTTCCTTGGAAGAACCGGCACATGGAAATCCCTGGTGGCACAGGAGGAGCTTCCCAAGGGAATCTTGGGGTGGGAGCAGGAATGGGGTCGGGAGAGGCTGGAATGGGGTTGGGAATGACCCAACTGGGGCAGTGCTGGGAAAGCCAGGGAAGAGCAGGAGATGGGGAAAAGCAGAAGGGGGAAAAGCAGGAGATGTGGAAAAGCAGGATATGGAGGAAAAACAGATGTGGGAAAAGCAGGAGATGGAGGAAAAGCAGGAGATAATGTGGGAAAAGCAGGAGATGATGGGGAAAAGCAGGAGATGATGTGGGAAAAGAAGGAGATGTGGAAAAGCAGATGTGGGAAAAGCAGGAGATGTGGGAAAAGCAGATATGGGAAAAGCAGGAGATGTTGGAAAAGCAGATGTGGGAAAAGCAGGAGATGATGGGGAAAAGAAGGAGATGTGGAAAAGCAGATGTGGGAAAAGCAGGAGATGTTGGAAAAGCAGATGTGGGAAAAGCAGGAGATGGAGGAAAAGCAGATGTGGGAAAAGCAGGAGATGATGTGGGAAAAGCAGGAGCTGTGGCCACAATTCCCACTCCTGGAAATCAGCATATCCTGAGAAATCCCTCCTCCTCTCCTCCTGAACCCACCCCAGCAGGATCTATCCCTAAATTCCAGCTTCTTTTAGGGGACAAACAAGCCCAAGCTCGCCCTGCTCTCCCCACGGAGCAGCCCCGCCGGCTCCCACCCCCCGGGGCCGGGCTGGGATTTTGGGAAGCGCATTCCCGCATTCCCGCATTCCCGCATTGCCGCATTCCCGGTGCGGGTCCCGCTAGCGGAGCTCGCCGTTCGCCTTGAGGGACAGCACGGAAATCTTCTCGTCGCTCTTGTCGCCGTGCTCCTCCTCCGGGAATTGGATGCTGTAGGATTCCTCCCCCAGGAGCGGGCGCCGCGGGAAGGTGGGGAGGGAATCTGCGGCTGGAAACGGGGAAAGCTCAGCGGGAATGCCAGGAACGGCCCGGCTCGAGCGGCCAGGGATGATGGGATGGCTCAGGAGGGATTTTGGGATGAGCCAGTGCGGTCCCATCCGTGGGCAGGGAGATTCCCCGCTGTCCCACGGGGCTCCAAGGACAATTCCAGGGATCCAGGGGCAGCCAGAGCTTCTCTGGGAAACCCAGTCCGGGAATTGCATCCCAAAATCCCGGCACACCCTGCCCCCCGTGCCAGGAAGGCTGCCCTGGATGACTCTGGGAACCTGCCCCAAATCCCAGAGGAAATCCCAGATTTTAACCCACTGATTCCATCCTTTTATCCCATTCAGATTTTATCCCATCCATTCCCAGGTTTTATCCCATTCAACCCCAGATTTTATCCCATTCAATCCCAGATTTTATCCCCCCATTCCCAGGTTTTATCCCATTTATTCTCAGGTTTTGTCTCCCCCATTCCCAGCTTTTATCCCATTTATTCCCAGGTTTTATCCCACCCATTCCCAGGTTTTGTCTCCCCCATTCCCAGCTTTTATCCCACCCTTTCCCAGGTTTTATCCCATTTATTCCCCCCCATTCCCAGGTTTTATCCCACCCTTTCCCAGGTTTTATCCCATTTATTCTCATGTTTTATTCCCCCCCATTCCCAGGTTTCATCCCCCCCATTCCCAGGTTTTATCCCATTTATTCCCAGGTTTTGTCCCCCGTTCCTCACCCCCGGGCAGCAGCTTGCTGTCCCTGCGGAGGCTCCAGATGCAGAAGTGCAGCAGGAACGTGAGCAGGATGAGCACGAACAGGGCCACGGCCACCAGGATGGCCAGGATGGCGCTGGAGGGGAATTCCAGAGCCACCTGGGCTGCAATTAACGGGCTTTCATTAAAAATTAAGGAATTCCGGGGCTGGGGTTTGTTCCAGGGCAGGGAGATGTTCCAAGGGAGTGTAGGGATTGATTTTGGGGTTCTGTGGGAAAGAGGGAAGGTGGGAGAGGATCTGAGGTGAGGGAATTGTGGAATGGGATGGAAATAGGGGAAAAGGGAGAAAGGGAAAGAAATGGAGCAGGGAAGGAAATGAAAACAGGAGAAGGAGGAGAAGGAAAAGAGAGGGAAGAAGAAAAGGAAAGAGGAAACGGGATGAGGAAGAGGAAAGGGAAGATGGAAGGAAAAGAGAGGGAAGAAGAATAGGAAATGGGACAGGGAAGAAGCAAAGGAAGAATAAACAGAAAAAGGAGAAAGAGAAGACAGGAGCAATGTTTTCCCGGGCAGCACCGGTTTCCCAGGGGGATTTCGGGCTGGGAAGCAGTGGGACAGCGGGAATGCTCCGGGGTACCTGGCTCCAGGGCTCGGCCGGGCGGGCTGCACTCGGAGTCGTGGGTGCCGTTCCCCTCCCGCAGGGTGAGCAAGCCGCTGCTCTCGCAGCTGCCAAGGACAAAGGACAAAGCACGGGAATTCGGCATCCCGGGAATTCGGCATCCCGGGAATTCGGCATCCCGGCTATTCCCCATTTCCTGCCCCCCGGGAATTCGGCATCCCGGGAATTCCCCACTTCCTGCCTCCCGGGAATTCGGGAATTCGGTTATTCCCCATTTCCTGCCTCCCGGGAATTCGGCATCCCGGGAATTCCCCACTTCCTGCCTCCCGGGAATTCGGCATCCCGGGAATTCCCCACTTCCTGCCTCCCGGGAATTCGGCAACCCGGCTATTCCCCATTTCCTGCCTCCCGGGAATTCGGCATCCCGGGAATTCGGCATCCCGGCTATTCCCCATTTCCTGCCCCCCGGGAATTCGGCATCCCGGGAATTCCCCACTTCCTGCCTCCCGGGAATTCGGCATCCCGGGAATTCCCCACTTCCTGCCTCCCGGGAATTCGGTATCCCGGCTATTCCCCATTTCCTGCCCCCCGGGAATTCCCCATTTCCTGCCTCCCTCTCTTCCTCCCCTCCCCAGGTTCTGCCCCTCTTGGGGCAGCGCAGGGCAGCTTTGGGCTCTTCCCCAAACCTCCCCATTTGTTTTTCCATGCATTTCCCTGTTGGGGATATTTTTTCCAGCATCTAAAGCTTGATTTTTAAACTGCGTGTTTGGCTTAAGCTCTGCCTAAGAAGAGAAATGCCAGGTCTCGCTTAATTAAAAAATTCATCAATAATCACACGATCACCATCTTGGATTCAATTTGATTTTCTGATGGCAGTATTGAATATCTTCATTGATATTTCAATACTGATATTGATTATGAATTGATATTGTATTATTATTACTGTTACTATCATTACTATTATTTTTGTATTCTAATTATTCTTATTCCCTAATTTCAAAGTGGGGAAAAAAACCCAGCCTATTTTTTTTCCCAAATAAGGGGAATATCAGTAAACCCATATTCAGTCCATTCTTATTGTTAATATTATTATTTCTATTTTCAGAGAAGGAAACCCATTCCTAGCAATAACTGAATTATTGGTTATTGATCACTGCTCCGTACTCAGTCCAGTTGTGGCACCAGCTGTTCCTGCTGCTGGAGTAGGAGCCGTTCTCACAGGGCTTGCACTCAAACCGGAAATTCACACCTCCTGCAGGGAAAGGGATGGGAATGGCTGGGATCCCAAATTCAGGAGAGCCAGCAGAGCACAGCCAGGGCCAGTCCCCTTCCCTGCCCCATTCCCTGCCCTATTCCCTTTCCCTGCCCCAGTCCCATTCCCATTCCCCGTCCCATTCCCAGCCCCATTCCCTGCCCCATTCCCTGCTCTATTCCTGTTCCCAGCCCCGTTCCCATTCCCATTCCCAGCCCCATTCCCTGCTCTATTCCCTTTCCCTGCCCCATTCCCATTCCCCGTCCCATCCCCATTCCCATCCCCGTTCCCAGTCCCGTTCCCAGCCCCGTTCCCATTCCCATTCCCATCCCCAGGGCTGGCACTGGGGCAGTTTCCTGCAGAACTGGCAGGGCTCGTCGGAGCAGCTGTGGCCCTGGGGACATTTGCAGTCGTGGTCCTGCGCCGCCTGGCAGGGCGGGGGGCTTCCTGCGGCAGGGAAGGGGTTAATGCCGCTATTCCCACCACGTTCCCGTTCCCAAGGGATTCCCATCACAAAGGAATTCCAGTTCCCGCGGGAAAAGGGAGAGGGGGAGGCAGCGCTTCCAGGCACGGGGAAGGGTCTGGAGCAACGGGATCCCAAAAATTGTCCTTCATATTCCCAGGGAAGAAGAGACTTTTCCTGGGAAAAGGGATCCCAAAAATTGTCCTTCATATTCCCAAGGAAGAGACTTTTCCTGGGAAAAGGGATCCCAAAAATTGTCCCCCCATCCCAGGGAATGAGCGACACAATTGACTCCCATTTACCCGTGATTTACACACGATTTCCACACAATTCACCCCCATTCAGACCCGTTACACACAATTACCCCACAATTTACCCACATTCACACACAATTTACACACAATTACCCCCATTCACACACAATTTACACACAATTACCCCCATTTACACACGATTTACACACCATTTACACACAATTTACACACAATTACCCACATTTACACACGATTTACACACGATTTACACACAATTCCACACAATTCACCCCCATTCAGACCCGTTACACACAATTACCCCACAATTTACCCCCATTTACAAGCAATTCACACACAATTACCCCCTTTACACACTATTCACCCCCATTTACACACAATTTACCCCCATTTACACAAAATTTACCCCATTTATACACAATTTGCTCCCATTTACACACAATTTACACATCATTTACACACAATTCCCCCCATTTACACACAATTCCCCCCATTTACCCCCATTTACACAAAATTTACACATCATTTACACACAATTTGCATTTAATATAAATCTGGTGCAAGTACAGTGTTTCCTCATTTACACACAATTCCCCCCATTTACCCCCATTTACACACAATTTACACATCATTTACACACAATTCCCCCCAATTCCCCCCATTCTCACCCCCATTGCCCCACTCACCTCCCTTCCAGGTGCACTTGGGGCAGCACTTGGTGCCACCTCCCCAGACCGTCCTGAGCTCCCCATCCTGGCACTGCCCAGCCCGGCCCGGCCGTGCCCCGTGCCCGGCCAGCAGTGCCAGCAGCAGCCACAGCCGGGCCCCGGCCATGTCCCGGCAGTGCCACCGGCAGTGTCACCAGCAGTGCCACCGGCAGTGTCACCCCGGCAGTGCCACCAGCAGTGTCACCCCGGCAGTGTCACCAGCAGTGCCACCAGCAGTGCCACCCCGCAGTGCCACCCAGCAGTGCCACCAGCAGTGCCACCCCGGCAGTGCCACCCAGCAATGTCACCCCAGCAGTGCCACCCCGGCAGTGTCACCCGGCAGTGTCACCCCGCAGTGCCACCCCAGCAGTGCCACCAGGTCCCTGTCGCCGCCGCGGAGGAGGCGCCGGGGTTTTTGTGGCCGAGCTCTTCCTGTTTTTTGGGGGGGCGGGGAGAAGGTTTGGGTTCAGACAGCAGAGGTGGGGGCAGGGAAAGGGGTGGCCCCCCAAAAAAAGGGGGTTGGGGTCATGGAGGGTTAAAGGGGTGAAATTTGGGAATGGTGGGCTGGGAGGGGGGGAAGATCAGCTCGTTGCAGAGATCTCCTGCTGGCCCCGGGCACTGCAGGGATGGGGTGGCCAGAAATTCCCTGGGAATTCCATCCATGGATCCATCCATCCCTAAAATCCGTCCCAACTTTCCCTAAAACCCATCCCAGCCTTTCCTTAAACCCACCCCAACCTTTCCCTAAAGCCCATCCCAACCTTTCCATCTTTCCCATCCCAACCTTTCCCTAAACCCATCCCAGCCTTTCCCTAAACCCATCCCAGCCTTTCCTTAAAACCCATCCCAGCCTTTCCCTAAACCCATCCCAGCCTTTCCCTAAACCCCATCCCAGCTTTCCCTAAACCCATCCCAGCCTTTCCTTAAACCCACCCCAACCTTTCCCTAAAGCCCATCCCAACCTTTCCATCTTTCCCATCCCAACCTTTCCCTAAACCCATCCCAGCCTTTCCCTAAACCCACCCCAACCTTTCCCTAAACCCATCCCAGCCTTTCCCTAAACCCA